CTAGGTAGACTATCACTGTAGCTTTGATTCGCATTTCCCTGAAGAATGGTGAAGGTGAATATCCTGTTTATTGGTCATTTCATATTCTGAGAACTGTCTTCTCTTTCATGAGTCCCTTCACTGACTTGGTTGTTTGATTTCTCGTTGCTTGGGTCTTGTGTGTGTTCTTTAAGTACTCTGGATATTCTATCATGTATATAGGGTTTTTTTTTCTCATTTTTCTAGCCTGTCTCTTCATGGATTTAATTGTTTCCTCTGCTGTGTAGAATACTTCTAATTTCATTTTTATATTGTTAGTGTTATTTTCTGAGCCACTAGAGTCCTTTTCAGAAAGCCCTTGCCTATGCCCAGCACCTCCAAGTGTTTAGTCTTTTTTAATTTTTATTGCTTTATAAATAATACCATTCAAAATTTCAACTTCCTCCCCTCCTCCCATTTCCCTTCTGTTCCCCCACTCACCCTCCCCCCTCATCCTGCAGTCCTAAGAGAGGGCAGGGTATCCTGCCCTATGGGAAGTCCAAGGTCCTCCCCCTTCAATCCAGGCCTAGGAAGGTGTGCATCCAAACAGGCTAAGATTTCAAAAAGCCAATACATGCAGTAGAAACAAATCCCAGTGTCATTATCATTGGCTTCTCAGTCAGCCCCCATTGTCAGCCACATTCAGAGACCGGTTTGATCACATGCTCGTTCAGTTCCGGTTCAGCTGGCTTTGGTGAGCTTCCATTAGATCAGGCACACTGCCTAAGTGGGTGGACCAACCCTTCGTGGTCCTGACTTCCTTGCCCATCTTCTCCCTCCTTCTGCTCTTCAACTGGACCTTGGGAGTTCAGTCCAGTGCTCCAATATGGGTCTCTGTCTCTATCTCCATCCATCGCTGGATGAAGGTTCACTCTGGATGGATCTCCTCAGTCCAAGTGTTTAGTCCTACAGTTCTTCGCCACTGACTTTCTCCACAGCCCCTGAAAGGAGCTGTCCATGTCTGTCTGGCAGGTCCATCTTAGCTGTCCTTTGACTGTGTCCCACAGAACTTCATGCATCATATCTTCATGTACAGTATCCGATGGACTGTTACTTAGCATGGGCTTGGACCTATGCAGAGCTTAGGGAGTGTCCTTCCATCCTTCTGTTACTGGCCTATAGTTTAAGTGAATTCTGGTTGGAGACCATCTTCTGGGTGACTTCAGTTTAAGCCAGGCCTAGACAGATTGCTGTAGTAAACTGAGGAGACTTCTAGACATGACAATTAGAAATTGATGACAAAAGTTTCTGTTCCACCTGGTCCCACAGCCATTCAGTTGCAAATAAAAACACAGAGTTTTATATTAAGTATAAGCTAGATGGCCTATTGCTCAGACTTATTACTAACTAGCTCTTACAAGTTAAATTAACTCATAATTCTTATCTATGTTTAGCCACATGGCTCGGTACCTTTTCTCATCTTGTTTCTTTTGTGTCTGGTTTGTGACTATGTCTCTGTCTTTTCCTCTTCCCAGAATTCTCTTATTCTGGTCACCCTGCCTGTACTTCCTGCCTGGCTACTGGTCAATTAGCATTTTATTAAATCAATATGAGTGACAAATCTTTACAGTATACAAGAGCATTATCCCACAGCACTAAATGGTTGGTGGAGGGTAATGTTGGGTTCCTCTGTATTTTTATGTTCTTGATAATTTTCAATCCAGTTTTCTATCATAAATGGATATTACAATTATTTAGTTCAGTTATAGTTCAATAATCTTTTTGCCATATCTGTCCCTTCGTGGTCTGACTATATTATAAGACTGCCCCAACTTTTTGATGAACTAAACTTTCATAGTATAAAGATCCAATCTGTCTCTGGTAAATTTTTTTCGTTCTGACATCTTTTTTATTCAGTCCCATACAGTCACTTTTATTTTCCCTTAATTAACATTCACACGATGTAATTTAATAGATCTGTTTTTCCTGCCTTGTATTTAAACTAAGAATTGAGGCTGAGGAAATGAGTCAGCTAGCTCATAAAGCCTTGCCACACACACAAGCCTGAGGATCTGAATTCAAACCTGCAGAACCCAGGTGAAAAGCTAGAAGCAGCAGTGTATGCTTGCAATCCTGGCGCACAGAAGGCAGATAGAACAAGATCCCTGGATCTTGCTGCTCAGCCTAGCTGAATCAGTAAACTGAGGTCCAGTAAGAGACTGTTTCAAAGAACTAAAGTGGAAAGCAACTGAAAAACATTGACCTCTGGCCTTCACATGCATATGTGCCACACAGACATACAACAACAACATATACACATACAACAGCAATAAGTTAGGAAATAGCACGTCAAAACCTTAATTTCATTTGATTTTTTTTTTTACTTTTGATTGTCGGTTTTGTTGCTTCTGTGGTTCTGTTTTCTGTTTCCTACGAATTATTTGAACACCTCTTAGAATTTCAGTTTAATTTATGAATTATATTTTTAGTGTGGCCCTCTACACAGCTTTGGTAGTGCTGTTCCTAACGTGTATACGCACTCACACACACACACACAAACACACACACAGCTTACAAATCTCCTGGTGTCAGGAATTCATGGCTGAAGCAAAGCACCTGGGCCTGACCTCCCTGATCTTCAGGCCTTCGTCTGCTTTGTGAGGTGCACACTCCTCTCCCATCTGCCCTGTGTGTGTCTGCGTGCAGATGCATCAGATTTTGTCATAATTTTGTTTTGATCATAAGAGAAAGTTTGGCAATTTAAGGGAAGGAAAGTCTATTTGTCAGCCGGCAAATCTTTTGGCAGTGTTTTTTGTTCCTTTTTAACCCAACAAGGTTTCTCTTTTCCCGTTTTCCTTCCTGCTGCTGAGGTGCTTTACGACACTATGTAAAGAGCACTCTTGGGACAGCAAATGCCTCTCATTTTCCTCATCTGAGACTGTCCTGATTTCCCATCCATTGCTGAGAAGCACCTGGACCATTACAGGGTTGGGAGCTGACAGTTAGTTCTTCCCAGCACTTGAAAATTATGTAATTTCCTTCTGTCACTCATGGCTTCTGGTGAGACATCTGCTGACATTCAAATTGTTTTTCCTTTGTAGAGAAGGTGTCATCTTTTCCTCCCGTAGCTTTGAAGGTTTTGTTTGCCTTCGTGTTTAGTCATCAAATTAGGCTGTGTCTGCACATGGCACCTTGTTTTTCTCTGCTTCCTGAACCTGTGAAGTCTTGCCAGTTACCAAATTTCCAGGCTTGGGGGATTTTTTTTTTTTTAAGATTTACTTTATTTTTAATGATGTGCGTATGCAGTGCGCATGGAGACCAGAAGAGGGTGTCAGATCCTCCAGGAGCTAGAGTAGCAGGGGTTTGTGTGTACCTGATGCAGGTGCTGAGAAGGGAACTTTGTCCTCTGCAAAGGCAGAAGTGGTCTTAGCTGCTGAGCCGGCTCCCCAACCCCAGGACATTATTTCTCCTGGTTGCCTTTTAGCCCCACATTCTTTCTCCCATCCTTCCAGGCATCATACGATTGCTAGAACTTTTCTCACATCTTTCTGTGTGTTTTCTCTCCGTTACTCAGACTGATTTCTGCTGTCCTACTGTCCAGCTCTTGTGGTCCCTTGCTAAGCAGCTCCGCGTGATCACACACATTATGTAAGCTCTGCATTTGTCCATGGATGTGGATGTGTGTGGATGCCAGAGGACACTGTCTTTCACCTTTGGTTTTGACACAGGCTCTCTTACTGTCCTGGTACTCACCTGCAAGTCCAGGACGCCCATCTCCACATCCTCAGTGCTGAAGTTGCCAGCACATACTGCCACACACATTCTCCCAGCCTGCCTCCTCTGACCTCAGGAGATCATTCTGTCTGATATGTAACTGGCAATGCCAACTGATTCAGGAGATGACACAGAATAACCCTGGGTTTTCCAGAGCTGCCATCCACCCAACAAGAGAATGGAAAAACGTGTGACTGCAGAGAAAAGCTGAACCTGCTGTAAGGACTTCCAGTCCTCTAGACTGCCAGGAAATTGACAAGGTTTCTGGAAGTTTTCTAAAGACAGATGAGTCTGAGGAGCAGGCATTTGCCTTTGGGGCTATCACACTGTGGTCCCTTGTGCGGGTAACCACACCTTGCCCCAGTAAAGGCTAAAACAACCACAGCTTTCCCTCTAATTTCCCATGACTGAAACATCTTTAATGTTCGTAAAATTAGAAAATGGTTCATAATGCCAAGACAGCTAATTGGACATCTAAAACATAATCTGAAGGTTGTTTATTTTGCATTCGTATTGCCAATTAATAGAGTAATTTCCTTTTAAATTACCTCTTGTTTGGAACCCAGCAAGTATTTCCCTCTAGATGATGCTCTGTTTTCACTGTGGGTTTCTTTATTTTCCACACTCTTTAAGAACTTTAAAACAAAGGCGTGTGCACGGCTCATTCTAAATGCCCTTCCCGTCCCCACAGATGGCACATGCTCACAGGCACTTATCACATGATTGACTTCTAGTGCTCTTGAGCTAATAATGTAACAAATTAATAAGCATTTATTATTTTCCCCTGAACCAGCTCACTATGCACCTGTGCCATAGAACTTAAGCAATTCCGTTGTTTTGCCTTAGGAAGCGGGATTATTGTTCCTCTGACGCTACACAGCGAACATATCTCTCGGGGTTATTTTTCAGTATAAATTATCAGCTAGCACCAACCTTTATTTTTAAGGTTTGGATTATTTTTCCTTGAGATTTTTTTCGGATGGATTTTGTTACCTTGTAATCAGGAATAAAATAGTCCTCGGCAAACCACCAGATGACTGCACCTATATCAATGTCTCTGCCATCCCCATGGGTGCACTCCTACCTTTTCTTTGTTATTTTTCCCAGCCTGGACTGGGAGCCCGTGTGAGGGTCCCTCACCTATGGAGTATCTACCTTCTTTCAGCCTGGGCTGGGAGCCCATGTCAGGGCATCTCGCCTATAGGGTAGCACTGGTGCTTTCTGCTTGGATCCCGGGGAACTCGGCCTGACAATTCTGCTTTCTACAGGCAGGCAGCCACATTCAGACCCTGATGGGGTCACAGAGCCTTCAACACCGCAGTCGGGAGCAGCAGCCATATGAGGGGAACATCAACAAGGTGACCATCCAACAGTTCCAATCACCGTTGCCCATCCAGATCCCTTCGTCGCAGGCCTCCCGGGGACCTCAGCCTGGACGGTGCTTAATACAAACGAAAGGGCAGAGGAGTATGGATGGCTATCCTGAGCAGGTAAGGGGGCTCTCGTAACAGTCAGTGGACGTTCAGGAGTTAAAACAACTCCACGCTGCACAGTGGTCCTCGACACACAATGTTCTTCATAGGGATTGATCGTTGCTGCCAGAGGTTGGGGACAATGACACACTGGTAAAATGCCCTTTTATACGCAAAATACAATGATTTTCCAGTCCTGTCCTTCCTTCCCACTGCCCATTCCAATTCAACAGCAATTTTGAGTATGATAAGGAACCTCTGTGGATGGGGTATGTTGACTAAGGTCCCTAGTGAAATAGAGGGTCTTAAAGATAACTGCTATCCCATCTTCATTTGCAGAAAAACATTTTCAGTTCTATTTTCTCATTGTTAAACACATCAGAGTATAGAAAACTCTAGAGAATCATTAGAAGAGAAATTTTTTTAATGTTCTGGAAGCTACTGATTAATGTGATGTGTCAAAATCATAATGATGAGTACTGTTCTCCTGTCCTGACTAAAATCGGGACTTGCTCTCCACTGCAGAATGTTCTCCTTCCTTGAGACTACAAAAGATTTCACCCGACGGAAGCTTGAGGAGGAGACAACACAATCTAACACATGCAACTAATACTTCTTTACTTCATTGTTTGGATTATTAGGCAAAGTTCCATGGCATTATTCGCCCCTCAGTAAAAGCCAGCAGGATAATGTACGGTGAACATGACCAGCAGAGTTCCTAGGACTGTAAGGGGGCAGAGGACTGTGTAAAGCTTGTAAAGGTTCCATGCTGTTGTTGCTTATCCAAAGCTTTACCTGGGAGCCAACTATCTCTTCTACACACCAGCCAACATTAACTTCTTTCTCCAGCTTTTTCTCTGTATGTTGCTCAGAGCCATTTATCATGGGGATCCTAGAAGCTTCAAGCATTGTCTCTTTGTTACCTCTGCCCTGTATCAATCATTCTCAGAATCACAGAAGCTCAAGAAAATTCTCTTTCACTTTTCCTAATCCAGGCCACATGTTGGGTTTAATGTGTAACAAGCCAGGCAGGCTCCTGTAGTCAGAAAATGATGAACAGCTACTGACTCTTCAGAGAGTCTAAAAAGTTAATGAGGTTTAAATTATGTTCTAACAAAGGCTGTGTTCATATCTGACTCCACAAGAAAAACTTCCCTCACCCAGTTATCTGATTCAGCTGTTCCTGTTACTACCTACATGGGCTGCTGTTTGGTTTGGTTTGTATTTTGGCCTTTCTCCCCAAATCACGGCTTTATTACCACAGGAACTTAGTTTGCAATATTGTGATTGCTTCAGAAAAAGAATCTAGAGTAGCTTTTCAGTTTGGTTCCATAGCTATGATAAACCTGATGCCTACAGAAAGGTAGTGATTTTTGTTGTTGTTTTGTTTGTGTGTGTTTTGTTTGTTTGGTTGGTTGGTTGGTTGGTTGGGGGGGGGGTGGTTCAAGACAGGGTTTCTCTGTAGCTTTGGAGCCTGTCCTGGAACTAGCTCTTGTAGACCAAGATGACCTTGAACTCACAGAGATTTGCTTGCCTCTGCCTCCCGAGTGCTGGGATTAAAGGCGCGTGCTATCACCATCCGGCTCAGAGAGTATTGTTAATGGACTTAAATCCAATCCTTTGCCTTCTTGGCTTTTTGCCTTGGTCTTGGATTGAAACAGCTCAGAATGCTAAGGTCAGAGCTGCAGTGACAGTAATGGCTTTAAAGCCTTTAAACAAGTAGACCTGGTTCCAAAACACAGTCCTCTGCCCCCTTACAGTCCTAGGAACTCTGCTGGTCATGTTCACCGTACATTATCCTGCTGGCTTTTACTGTGCAGTGCTGGGAAATGCAGATGGCTGGCCTCCGAGAATACCTCCTCCCAGCTCCTCCTGAGGTGACATGCCATCAAAAATCTGACATTGCAGCAGTAACTAAACCACAAGACCGGCAAGCACCACCAAGCGGAGTGTGCTGCACCTGATCAGCCACGAGACTCGCTCTGAACATGACTATTTCTACACCACTTCTCCCCTATTTCTTTTTCCATAACCTCTGTTCTTCCTCATGAAGCTCTGTCATTTGAGAAAGATCACCAAGCCAGGGGCTTAGAATCTGAGATTCTTCTTTTACTATAATGAGCCATGTGACCCTGGCCAAGTCAGTGACTCCTTCTAAGGTTCTGTTTCTTTCTTTAAAATGAAAACAATACCACCTGTCAACAACTTTTGGATGGTTTTGGTGAAGACCAGGAGGTGGCTCAGTATCAACACCTGAGTTCTAGAGATAGAGCACAAGTAAATTCTACACGTGATTGTAACTGTGATTGAGAATGCTGTGGATGAGATGCTGTGGAGACACACCATAACAACGGCAACTTTTATAATGGAAAACATTTAACTGAGGTGACCTGCAGTTTCAGAGGGTCACTCCATTATCATCGTGGTGTGATGTGGTGGCGTGTAGGCAGGCATGGTGGTGTGTAGGCAGACATGGTGCTGAAGAAGCAGCTGAGAGTTCTACATCCTGCAAGTAACAGGAAGTTGACTGTGACTCTGGACAGTATCTTGAGCATAGGAGACCTCAAAGCTTGCCCCACAGTGACACACTTCCTCCAACAAGGCCATACCCACTCCAACAGCCACACCTCTTGATAGTGCCACTCCCCTTGGAAGCCATTTTCTTTCAGACCACCACAGACACCCTTGTGATACCAGACCTGGGGAGAGAGATCCCAGAGAATCCATAGTTCTCACTGGCTAATTGGGATTCCTCATTGAGTTTCAGGTAGACCCTGAATAGTAAACCCTAAGGAACTACTCGCAAGATTAGCTAACTCCATGCCACTATGTGCATGGACAATTTACATATGCACCCTGCACACACACATGCTTCACCCCACATATTCACATGTGCCCCTAAAAGGCGGTGTGAGAGTTAAATGACGGAGTTTTGTGCCCCAAAAAGGCGGTGTGAGAGTTAAGTGATGGAGTTTTGTGCCCCAAAAAGGCGGTGTGAGAGTTAAGTGATGGAGTTTTGTGCCCCAAAAAGGCGGTGTGAGAGTTAAGTGACGGAGTTTTGTGCAGTCAACCATAGGATTTCTCTGAGAGGGGAGAAGTGGAAAAGAGAAAGAATGGGCATAAAAGTTTTTAAGAATTAAAATGTTTGAAAGAAAGAAGATAATGGTTATCAATCCCAACCTTCTTTGTCCAAAAAAGAAGCCAGAACTAGACATTGTTGGGCTTGTGTGAAATGCCACAGCATTTAAACGTCCTCAGTGTTTGTTGCTCTTATCTCTTGTCTTCCCCGCCATCAGTCGTTCTTAATCTCATCTGCATATTTGAAGCTGGTCTGGGGCTCTTCAGCAAACACTGACACCTTGGCCTCCTTCCCACATCAACTTATTTCATTCATCTACCTGTGACCCTGGGTAATGGGAATTTTGTGAGCTCCTCATTGAGTCTACGCAGTACACTTGAGAGTCACTGCTGAGGTACTCTGTGAACCAGCAGAGCCCCGGCTGGGCAATGGACTAATGTCACCACTATCTAGAAGTCACAGAAATTGAATATTTTTAAATAAATGGATAGCATCTTTTATCTTTCTTTATGCACACTTTTAATCCAAGGCATAATGTGTTTACATCTGTAGAAGAGAAATACCCATGGGAAGAAACAGCCATGGGAAGAAAAATGTCAGAGCAATGCTTAAGACCTCCCAAAACCCCTCAGGAATTCACCGGTACAGTTCAACTCATGGTTCTGTGAACCAGGTTACCAGCATATATGTTATTGAATAAGGCTAAGAGTAATAAGACTCCTTGACTATGACAACATAGCAGCTTAGAAGTCAACCTGGAGGGCTGGAGAGATGGCTCAGAGGTTAAGAGCACTGGCTGCTCTTCCAAAGGTCCTGAGTTCAATTCCCAGCAACCACATGGTGGCTCACGGCCATCTGTACTGAGATCTGGCGCCCTCCTCTGGCCATGTGGGCATACATCGAGGCAGAATGTTGTATACATAATAAATAAAGAAATCTTTAAAAAAAAAAAAAAAAGAAGTCAACCTGGAATCAGGATCTGTTTTTATGAGTTTTTGTATTCTATGTTGTGGCTTGAAGCACGTGTCTTTTAATCTAAAAAAAAAAAATCTGAATTTTTCTTTTATTTTCTCGCAGACGACAAGCAAGCAAGGACTTACTGAGAACTACACGAGAGTCCTGAAAATGTTTTGCCCCGTATTTTTGTTACATATCCTAATTGTATATATTAGCAGGGTTCATACACATACTTCACTAATCTAATATGGCCTCCTTTATCCCCCTCCACCCACCCAATACCCAACCTCTAGAAATCACTGTTCCGTGTTCATGTTGATTGTTTTAGAGTCCCAAGATATGAAAAAAAAAACTTTGTTGTGCTCATCTTCCCATCTCTGGCTTATTTCACTTAGCATGGGGTTGTCTAGTTCTACCCACCTTGCTACAAATGTCATGGTTCCATTCTGCAGGGTCCAGTAACATTCTACTGTGTGTAACCGTGAGTCTCCTACTTTCTTTGTCTGTCCATCCAAGACATAACTCTGTGGTAAGCATGGGTGTGCAGGCTTCTCTCTGGTGTGATGGGTGCACTTCCTTAGGCTATATTCCAAGAAGTGGGACAGAGACTTCACTCTGATCTCTGTAATGTAATAAATTGTATATATTACACATGGCCCAAGAGTGTCTCTCTTCCTACCACGATTTATTAGTTTGTTGGTGTTTATAGCCATTATTCTTATGATAATGAGGTGGTACTTCCTTGCAGCTTTTGCAATGTCATACATAGTTTAACAGACTTTTCAAACCTTTCTTCTTATGTCTCTACATGATACAGCTTTCTTCAGCCAGCCTGAAAATCTCCCCTGAAGTCTCACATGCACTTCCAGCAGCTGATAACAGAGCAGCCAAAGGAAAGAAAAGTCTCAGATCACCTTCTCTCAGCACTCTGTATCATGAAATCATTTTTCAGGACAGCTCACAACCTTTCATCATAAGATGATTATACCTCTGCTTCTCCTGGCTGCTAAGTACTGGAGTGACCCAGAATCCAGCCTTTCTATCCACATCATCCCCTAAATGACAGCATTCAGTCGTAGATGGTTCTCAACTCTCTATCCCCAGCCCTGGCCCTCCCTCCTTCACTCCAGCTGTCTGAACACACTGGCTGAGCTGTCTTCTTTTTTCTCCACCTGAGTTTTCCAAGTGCTTGACAATCATGGTTGAAAGAACTGTTAACTTTCTGCCCCTGATTTTTCTCTTGCATCCCTCTCTGTTTCCAGACTTCCACATCCCATTCAAGGACCTTCTACTCATCATTCTTCTACGACCAAAAGTGTCTGGTTCTCCTTTCTCTCAACCCACCTCCAATCAAAACACCTCTATCAGGAACATCCTAAATTTCACACCTTCCTCACCACTCACACTCCCGACTCTGACTACTTCTGAAGCTTCGTAAATGCTCTCTTTCCTCCGCACCTCACTCTGATCTGTTCTTCTGCCAGAATTATCTTTTCAGAATGATAGCCATACCATGTCACTCCTCAATTCAAAATGATTTATTGGTTTCCTTGATGGCTGGATAAGTTTTTTACAGGAGAGTTTCATGTCTCAAAGGGTCTAGCCCTTGCTCACACAATTACAGAATAGTATAACGTCCCTGTGGGTCTAGCTCCTAGTCACATTGCCTTCTCTGCCTCACTGAGTTGTCTTTTAATCATGATGGTCTTGCTGTTTTTAATTACAATGTAGATATAATTTACATCCTGAAAACTGGAGTATTTAAAGTAGACAAGTTGCATACTAATATTTACATGGTTGGGTGTCCATCATTGTAATATAATTTTAGAACCTTCTCACTCTGAAAGGAAACCCTTAGCATTGACTGTCCATGCTCCCTCCTTCAGTCCTCGATGACTGCTCACCTGCCTCGACTCTACGAGCTGTCTCTTGTTGACACTGCATCTCTTGACGCTTGTCTTCACCTAGCTTTCCGTGCTCTGGAAGCAGATTTCTCTAAGACTCACTGTTCTAATTACAGTGATATCAACGCAGTCCAGAAGTGTCCAGTCAAGCAGCATGCAGGGGGAAGGTTGAGTCTCACAGCCCCACTGCTGACTGAGCTGAAGCTGTGCCTTAAACAGACATTTCATTTTGTCCCTTAACACAAAATTGACATACTGATTTTCACTACCTAAGTCATTTATTAACTTTTGGGACCTTTGCAAAATCATTGTATCCCAGATCCTTTCGGCCTCTCTGGCCTGTGAGGTTCTCTCTCTCCTCTTTGGGCCTCAGCAGGCAAGTGACACACCTCACCACAAGAGAAGTTTTTCCTCCCACGGTCTTGAGGAGACCTCAGACCCCTATCTTTCTGACACACATGATCATCCTGGGAAATCACAAGTGAAGTCTGTTTGTCACATTTATGAAGCAAGTGTCATCTTTATTGTGTCTGTCGTTAAAAATGTATTGAGACAGCTCTTCCCAGACCTGGCACCAGCCGCTCTGGTTTTCCTTAGCTTTCCAGCACATTCTAGATTTTCAGTAATACAAATTGAATCTAATCAATTCCTTGACTGGAATCTACTTGGAAATTTTCTACATAAAGGAAATTGGTCCTATAGTTCCCAGTTCTGTAGCGACCTGAGGGAAGTCAGTAAGCACACCGCCCATGCTGTTTGTTTCCACAAGAGATAGAACCAGATTTGTTGTTATACAGACAGATACATGTGTGTGTGCCCATGTGTACATTCATGAGTGTGTATTGTGTGAGTTTCCATGTGTATGTGTGAGTGTGCATGATAAGCACACCGCCCATGCTGTTTGTTTCCACAAGAGATAGAACCAGATTTGTTGTTATACAGACAGATACATGTGTGTGTGCCCATGTGTACATTCATGAGTGTGTATTGTGTGAGTTTCCATGTGTATGTGTGAGTGTGCATGTGTGAGTTTGCGTGTCCGTGTACTTCATCGTACAAAGTTCTGGGGTTTCGCTACAGCATTTTCTTTTTTTTAATATTTATTTATTTATTTATTTATTATGTATACAATATTCTATCTGTGTGTATGCCAGAAGAGGGCACCAGATCTCATTACAGATGGTTGTGAGCCACCATGTGGTTGCTGGGAATTGAACTCAGGACCTTTGGAAGAGCAGGCAATGCCCTTAACCGCTGAGCCATCTTTCCAGCCCTCACTACAGCATTTTCATATAAGAATATAATATACCTGCAGTGTTAACCCCTCTTTCCCTTTTCCCACCTTGCCATGACTCGTCTTCTTCCCTTAGATCAGTGGTTCTCAATCACCCTAGTGCTGCAACCCTTTAACAGTTTCTCATATTGTGACCCCACAACCACAAAGTTATTTTGTTGCTACTTCATAACTGTAGTTTTCCTACTATTATGAATAATAATGTAAATATCTGTGTTTTCTGATGGTCTTAGATGACCCATATGAAAGGATTGGTTGAACCCCCAAAGGGGTCACAACCCACAGGTTAAGCACCTCTTCCTTATAAGATTCTTCGTCTACCTTCATTTCATATTACATACACAACTTACGTGTCTATATAAAATCTAGGATCCATAAATGAGAGAAAATGTGCTATTAGATTTTTTTAGACTGACTCAATTTGCTTAATTTGACATTTGAAAATGCATGCATCTGTGAGCAAAGACAAAAGGAGAGATTTTAATTACATGGGATGCTTTCTTGTCATTTTCTAATTAATAAATAAAAGCCAAGAGGCAAAGTGCTACATAGAATAAATCTACAATATTCCCTCCAGCTGCATCAAGCTATTCTATGTTCATCCTCACAGGCTGAGAGGCATGTAAATTACAGACTATTATAAACTACCTTTGGCTACCCTGTGAAAACTAGTTTTAACAAGTCTACATCAGTCGAAGGAGAAGTTGTAATTAAGTGTATTTTTTAAGTGACTGAAAAAGTACTCTTGGCAATTGCACTTACAAGTAATTTAGAAATTATTCGCTGATAGATTGAAATTAGAAACCACAATAGTGGGTGGGTTTTTGCTCCTGTGTTGCACATGAACCCAAAGACAGTTAGATGCATTTTAGGAATGAGAACAGCCCTCTAAGGATGCTGCTACTAAGGAAGATTAGTTCATCCGAAGTCTGGTAACTCAAGTGCATGTTAAGTATAAAATGTGATTCATGTTTTCTTTGAACCATCTAAGAGGAGAGACTAGACGTGTGTTTAAAATAGAAGGCTAGAAAGTGCTTAGGGCATTCTCATTTAACTCGGTTCAGAGGCTGAATGAGTGGTGGCCAGAGGCATAAGGTTGCTTAACCAGCCAACAGGTCAGTCTTCTTAGGAACTTTTCCTTTGTGTGTTTATTTAAATACAAAGCTTATGCCAGTGTGGTTTTCATCATTTTTTTTCTTGACCTGTCAGTCAGCTCACTGTTGCCCTCTGGTGCCACTGGGTTCCCCTGCTGCCAGTACTTGTTCTGTACCTAACATTTGTGAGTCTCTTTTCTCTTCGTTTAACAATGAAATGCTGCCTCTTAGTCCAAGACTGTCACCATCTGGGGACCCCTGTCCCAGCCTCAGTACAGAACCCCAGATCTCATCTGTTGAGGTTGCTCAGGTCATCCTGCTGACTTCCTGTCTGTGAAAACTCTCGCAGTCAACATTTAAAAAAAAGTTTTGTTCCATTTCACTGCAGCCATAGCACACAGTAGACCATCCATTTGATGCTCTTGTTCCTGGGATTGCCCGTCAGAATGCTAGACCAAATTCCCCACACCCCTGAGACTCCCCAGTCTCTGTCTTGTGGACCACACTCTCTAACCTTGTGTCTGTTGAGGTTTGCCTTCTAGTCTTCCAGCTCCTGCCTCAACAGCTGCTACAAAACTCAGCCTCCATTTCCCTCAAACTAAAAACCCTAACAACCCTACCACTACAGTAACACTAGCCATAACACAACCATGCCTTCCATATTTAAATTGCTGTCTCTGCTTCCTCTCACTTGTCTGTATTTTTCCTAAGTAGTCTAGACATAGTTTGGACATGTGTGTAGTCTAGACATAATCTAGACCTGTTTAGAGTGGCAGAGACGGCTTCACCTCCAGTGTGCTCATGAGGCCTGGGTTTCTCAAGGTAGCTCCTGACGTATGGAGGCATAGAGAGTTATTACCCCTTTGGTGGAGTTTATGTTGTTTACCCCAGATCAACACGGTCTCACTAAAAATATGAGTAAATTGTAAACCTTGTCTGAAGCATTTACTTGTAATGGCTACTTGGTTTGACTTTTCGTATCTTCTTTCTTAGTTCTGTGTGAGAATAGAAAAGAACCCTGGACTTGGATTTAGTATCAGCGGTGGAATTAGTGGGCAAGGAAATCCTTTCAAACCTTCCGACAAGGTAAGTGAAGTCCTTCTTGACAATTTTAGTTTCGAAATGCTGCCTTCCACTGTTGCGCTGAGCTGATGTAGCTAACGATGAAGCCAGTCAGGAAGAAAAACACGTCTGTACAGGGAAAAACAAGCGTAGTGCTTGCCAGAAATAAAGTGAGAGGAACAAATAGCCTATTTGAGAAGAAAGGGATTTGGGGTACTATTCTCATGCTTGGTTTTCATGGAGTTATTTTTGGCCTCTTTGTTTTGACTTTACAGTTGTGTGTGGTAAAGAAATCTATCTAAGCAATTTATAAGAGAAATGTTCCAAAGACTTATTTGTGAATTGCTCACTTGTTGTTTAGGACAATGTTTTCTTATAGTGACAAAATGATCCCACTTTGACTGGGTGTTCGGGCCAGCCAGCAGCTGACCCTGATCTACAAGACTGGTTGGGTGTTCGGGCCAGCCAGCAGCTGACCCTGATCTACAAAACTGGTTGGGTGTTCGGGCCAGCCAGCAGCTGATCCTGATCTACCAGACTTGCAGGCAGTTTCATTAGCAGAAATTTTGGAAATGAAAAATCACAGAAAGCAAAATTTATAAGAAAATTAAAGTTGCATTATCAGAAGAACCAGACCCCCATCTCATTGGATGAATGAGTACTCTTCCTAGTTCCATTTGGGCCCCTATCTCCCAGCAGGCCAGCTTGACCCCAGGATGTACCATCTACCTTTCTACCCTGAGCTATCTAGCCTGCCCTACTACTATTAGTGCTTAACAATCTTATATTGAAACCAATGTGGATGAATTCATTGACAATTAAAACGATCTACCTTTGGTCTCACCAAACTGAATTACCTTAAGTGACTACATCAGGTCTAGACTTTTCATTTCACTGTTATTACAGAAGTGCTCACAGAATACTTTCTGAAAATAAAATCTACTTCTGAAGAAAACTTGAATGTGGGACAGAGGAGGTGGCTCAGTGGTTAAAGTACTAGCTTTGCAAGCCTGTAGTACAGAGTTTGGATTCCCAGAACCCACATAAAACCCAGTAGGCATCACAGCTAGCCTGTAATCCCCAGTGCAAGAAGAAGAGACAAGTTAACCTAGAGCAAACTGCTACTGGGAGCTGAATTTGAAAGCTCCTGGTTCAAGGGTGAGACCCTGAATTAATACATAAAGTGAGGTGATCAAGGAAGAAATTCAAAGTCAACCAACCTAACAGGTACATGTATACAAATGTGGCCCACACAGAAGAAACATACACACAACAAACAAACAGACACACACACACACACACACACACAGTCTGCTCCTATATGGCTATTTCTAAAGCCTCAAACAGGACCTTTATCCCATATTTTTTTCTAACCTTCCATACTCCCCCCATGCTAGAGAAGATAGAAATGGTTGGAATAGAATTCTTGACATGGTGATGTGTATCAGGAAAGATGTATAACAGTTTCCAGTCACTATAAGTGGAAAGACCCTTGGCCAGCAAGCTGTAGCAGCTACCTCCATGAAGGTCTGAGCATGAGGCAGGAGTACAGCATTGAAGACACTGGTCTGCCTGTATTGACATTTTTTTATATGATACAGACTTATAAAGTTAAAGTAATTGATGATCTTGTTAAGGCAACCTCTTATTTAATTTTATAAATTAACAACAAAATTTCAAATTATCAGATACATGTATGATGCATTATTTAAACTCCATGCCCTCATATCTTATTCATCTTGATCCTCTCTTTTTAATTCTTTATTGGTGTATAGTTGTTACATAAAGAGATGAATTTCAAGCCGGGCGGTGGTGGCGCACGCCTTTAATCCCAGCACTCGGGAGGCAGAGGCAGGTGGATCTCTGTGAGTTCGAGGCCAGCCTGGTCTACAAGAGCTAGATTTCGGTATCACTCTCCTGGTCCCCTTTCCCACCCTGTTAGTTCCCTTGTTCTTCCCAAATACTTCCCTTCAATTTTTGTATCATATGCATTATGTGTATGAAAAACATATAACTTGAGGTTATACACATGAGAAAGCATGTACATGTTTGTCTTTCTGACTCTTATTCTTTTAATTATGTGATCTCCAGTTCCATCCACTTTGCTGCAAATGAGATGATTTCATTCTTTACAGCTGAATAAATAAATCTCTATTATGGGAGTGGGGAGAGATCTGTCCATCGTCTGTCAATGGACAACTGAGCTGATTCACAATGTTACTGTGAAAAATGTCACGGAGAATACGCGTGTGTAAATATCTCTGCGTTGTGCTAATAGTCCTTCAGAGGTAGTTCCAGATGTGATACAGCTGGGTCGTGAGGTAGCTCTGCTTTGGGTTTTGTTTTTTAAAGGAATCTCTATCTTGACTTTCCTGGTGAATTCGTTGCTGAGGGGATGTTTAATTTTCAGGCCTTTCTATATGTGGCTATTAAACCTCTGTCCAAGGTGTTGGGAAAAACTTGCTCTGTTTTAAAGGATGTCTCCTCTCACTTGCTATTGCCTCTCCTGTGAAGAAGCTTTAGATTTCGTGTGGCATCACCTGTCATTCCTCAGTTCCATCTCCTGTATGATTGAAGCCCTACCCAGAAAGTCCTCACCTGTGTCCATCGGAGTGTTCCCACTGTTTCAAAGTTTCAGTTCTCACACTAAGGTCTTTGATCCACTTTAAATTTATTTCTGTGCACAGTGAAAGATAATGGGCCTAGCTTCACATTCTGTGTGTGATGCCCAGTTAACTCAGGACCATTTATTACAGAGGTCTTTCTCCAGGGGACTTCCTGGCACCTTTGACAGTGGCTGTGTGGCTGACCACTCTTCTTGCCTTTGGCCTCATATCCTTTCCCTGAGTGGACTCCCCGACCATCCTTCAGGTGGCTGCCATTCAAGAGATCTGCTCCTCTCCTTTCTCTCGGCACAGAAAATTTCTCACCCTACTTTTGGAAGATAGGCGATAATGTTTTTAAATTAAGGATAAACTCATTGCTGGATAGGGTGTTAGAATAATGCTTCATGTCTGCTGTCTCCAAGTGCAAAGCCTGAGAACTTAGCCTTCAGCACCATTCCCTTCTGCCAAGGTGACTACAAAATTCTTATACACATTCATTTAATTATTGTTTGGGTAGCTTTACTGTGTCTGTGATCTTGTAACTCTTCCGGTTAAATGTCGCAGATAGAGAGTTTGGATTGTTTCATGCGGCTGTTGAAGGATTCTTCCCTGAAAGTACTGTTCTTTGCCTGATTACACTGCAAACCATTTTGCAGTCTAAATCGTGCGTCTCTGTTGTTGCAGAACTGAAGGGAGTAGCCAGAATTTCAAATCTACAGAACATTGTTCAAGTTAGAAATACTTTCCTTGGAAATCTAAACTTGTGATGGATTTCTGATTAACAACATCCAAATGGTCTAAAGATGTTGACGCCAACAGTTTACACAGGAATTTAGTCTGCTCCCTGGGGGAGAGTTCCATGTCTGCATCACCCGGTTTCCCTTCCTCAGCTTCATGCTCCATGCTGATAGAGACTGCTGGGTTCAGCAGCACATTTTTCTTATCCCAGCCCTGGGGAAGGTGAGGCAGACAGAAACCCAGAGCTTATAGCCAGTTACCATAGCTTATTTGGAAGCTGCAGGCCATAAAAGTCCTATCTCAACAAAAGATGGTGGGCTGCATGAGGAATGAATGACATCTGAGGTAGTCTAGCCTTCATGCGCACATCTACACATATGCATTTCATATGCACATGATGCTCAAACATGCACATACATACATACCTACACACGGGGGGGGCTTATACTTATCTCTGAAAACTAATAGTGAAAGGATGAAAATACACTAACATATTCTTCTCTACCGTGTTGAAAAAGAAATTACCTTTTCATTAGTGGACTAATTCACAGCTGGAGAGGAAAGGTACCAAATTAAGTAGCAATTTAAATTCAACAGATACTGCCTGAGTCTGAAGTAGCCATGTCACAGAGACTCTAGTCTGCAGGGTAATGCATGCTCCCTTCCAGTGAACAAATCATGCTTTAGCTATATTCCTGGACACAGGCTGTGTCGCTAAGTTTGTTGTTCACGGAGCTTTGAGCTCTCGACTGCTGAGAATCTTTGACCATCTGAAGTCCTGAAGGCGCTGAGGAGTTTGTATGCTACAGTTAGCTGTAAATTTGTCTCATTGTGTTCGGTATTATCGATGCTGTTGTGGTCAGTTCCAAAGACTGGTGGGTGTGAAGGAATGTCCATGCTGGTGAGAAGCAGGGAGAGCATGGAGCAGTCCCCGAACAGAAGGCAGGAGTAGGCAAGCAAACGGGAACTGAGTTGCTCAGGGCACAGAAGTTGCCAGCTAAGTTCTGACTTGTATGAGATTCCTGCGGTAATCACCTCAGACAAGCCCAGGCCTTCACCTCGCCTTTAGATGGACTTGGGATCAAGTCTCACAAGACAAGCCATTTCATACACTGGAGTGTTTGGAGCAGCAGCTGAAGCAAAGTTGACTTCCCTCCAAGACCCAAGGCGATCCTGAGCAAATGTGACCCCTTGGGATAAAGGAATCCGTGTGATTAACTCTGCAGCTGACAGTCAAAACAATATTTAGTACATAAAAAAAACAACTCAGCACAAAACTTTGGAAAACTACTTTTATGTATTTGTAAGGAGAAAGTGGTGGGACACAGTGTGAATGGCCTTTTATGATGCCCACCTCTTTCCTCTCAGTTAAGGGGACAGAAATTGTGGTCCAGCTTACCATCAGAGAGAAACGCTGCTATCACAGTAGCGAGATGCCGTTTAGATGAAAGATTTCAATCCAATACATCTAATGATAACGCAGTAAAAAGCAAATATTATTTATTAACAATCATGTGCCAGGCACTGTAGGAAGCGTATTTTGTGTGTAACCTCGTGTGATCATTTTGGCATCAGGTAGAATTGTCATCACCATGTTACTGAGTCCCAGAGGGATTCATTAACACGACCAAGGTCGTTTAGCTAATCTGTGACAGACAAAACCTGAAACCGAATTGATCT